TTTTTGTCTGGTGGATATGATAATCAAGTGAAACTCTGGGATTGCAGAAGGTAATATTTTAAATAACTAAACTGCAATACACCATTTAGATATAGATAGACAAATATTAACATTGTACATTTAATTTGTAGCTCCAAAGCACCATTATTTGAACTCTCTGGACATGAAGATAATGTTCTTACTTGTGACTGGTCAAATCCAAAATACATGGTATCAGGAGGAAAAGACAATACTGTTCGAATATTTAAGTCAAAAAATGCTAATAAGAAAGAATTAGAGAGTTAAATAGAATGAATTAGTAAAAATACTTCTTTTAATATTGTATACTGCCATTACTTTATTTTGTGTGATGTTAGTTAGACGTACTCAAATCAAACTAATGACTGCCTCAACTAGTAAAAGAATCATGGTTATTTATAACATTTACACTATATTCAAATACAACTTTCAACTACCTAATATATTATTTATGCACTGTGCAACCATTAAAATTTTTAGTAATCTATATAAACAAACATATAAATGATAGTTCAAAAATGCAATATGATTTTTAATCCAAATCATAAAGTTCTAAGGTTCACATTACAGCCTATCCTAAAATCTATCGTGGCATTGGCATGGCGGATCCAGGTCCTAATAAGACCTGTAAAAGAAAATATTTATTAAGACACATTTTTCATGAAAAATAAAATGATGGTATATATATATTAGGTTGTCAAATATCTCTCTTCCGCTTTTTTGCTCTTGGTTTATAATACAAAAAGGCGGAAGGAAGAATTGAATAATATATAATAATATATATATATTATATATATATTTAATATATATACGAGGTCTGTTCAAAAAGTACCCGGAATTACTAATAATTAAATTTCGCGGGTCTGGAGTGTCTGATTGTCAAAATTTTTTTTTTATTGTGTTGGTATACATGCCCCTAAAGTATGATGAAATTTTCAGCTATATTCACTGTTTACTTTGTCTGTGGTAGTCGCTAAGGTTCGACGTGTTTTTCTGAGCTCGGCGATTTTTACAATGGAAGAATTGAAAAGTCAAAGAATTTGTATTAAATTTTGCGTAAAAAATGAAATAAAGTGTTGCAAAGTGCAAAAATTCACCAGATATGGCTCCGTGTGACTTTTTCCTATTCCCAAAGTTGAAGAGACCCATGAAAGGACGGCGGTTTCCTCGATTGAAGAAAATCGCTGAGAGTGCTCAAGGACATATCAAAAAGTGAATATCAAGGGTGCTTCGAAAATTGGAAAAAACGCTGGCATAAGTGTATTATATCTGGGGGGGACTACTTTGAAGGGGACCACATTAATGTAGACGAATAAATAAATATTTTTTTGAAAAAAACGAAAATTCCGGGTACTTTTTGAACAGACCTCGTATATATAGTATATATATATATATATATATATATAGATATATATATATTATAATACATCACATTTCATCTCACAAATTAAAATTCTCTTAAACTTCAATGGAAAATCTTAAATATAAATTCGTTATACATTAATCACATAGGGCTTGAAATGGGGGGATGATAGAATCAAGTATCACCCAATACAATATGAGAATATAATATTGTATTTATTTTATTTATCTAGATTTCCAAAAATTGTATGATTTTTGTAGGCACTATAAAAATAAACATGATGTTGAATGTGGAATGTTCGAAGGGGCACAATTTCAAATATCACAACTATTACCAATGGGGAGTAGAGGCAGAAAAATGCTTGAAAAATTAACCCATGATTAATATATGGTTCCTTTTTTTTACTACAGTTTGGACTAAAATATCTATTATCTTATGTGTTATCTTAATAATTTACCTGTTTTTGTTGGCTTCTCTGCATTTGTTCCATTTGTGCCCTCTCTACTTCAACACATAACAGGTGCAAATAAAATAATTGATGAACTAAAAAAGAGCCATGTAGCTGCACACGAGAAAGCATATAAGCCTTTTACTCCTCTATAAGAGTTGTATGTAAGTTTTGATACTGCTTTACGAACGGGTTCAGGAAACATTTCAGTTAAACCTATAAGACGTTCTGCCAATGTTTCATCAGGCTCCTGGAAGAAAAATCTTGTATTAAACATTTGTAATATATAATAAAAATATGCATTATTTATACAGAAAAAACTGTACCCATTAAAAGTTTCTCAAATATTAATAAATACCCAATATGTAAATAAGAAGAGAGCAAATTAATCATGTAATGTTTGTTTAAAAGGGTTTTAATGTGTATCAATATCACAAGTTTTTGCCAAGTTTGTTTTTATGAAATATTCAAAGATTTCTATCTATTCTTATTTTTAAAAAAAGTTTTTGCCGTTTTATTTTTATGAAATATTCAAAGATCTATTAACAGGTTTTTTAACAAATTTTTTGCCATTTTATTTTTATGAAATATTCAAAGATATCTATTCACGGATTTTTTAACAAAGTTTTTGCCGTAGTTATATGTCAAATATTTTTGACTATGATTAAATACAGGTATTTAACAAACAAATATAGAAAAAAAAAACAACTAAAACATTCTTTGCAGAAATATGTTAAGTAATCTGAGATTTTCCAATTACTCTGATAATCAATCATAATTTTATAGCAAGTCGATCAATCATTAATTGCAATACATACAAAATTGTACAGAAATTATGAAAAGATTTTAACATGAGGGACATTATATTCAATTTCAAGCAATGATAGCAATTTTACATATAAACGAGTTTGTTGTAAATGTGAAAATAGTATTTAGAGCAAATACCACTAAATTGCTTATCTGTCCATCCAATAAACATCTTATTAATCATAAAAATAAAAATTGAAAAAATTTGAATTATGAATATGATGTTTGCCTCTAAATTATCTACAAATATTTATTATATAACTTAATTATGAATTAAATGAATTATGTTCAACTACGACATTCTTTACATAATACATAGAGAAATCTAAGTTTTTGACAATTACTCAATAGAAAAATCTAAATTTTCTATCAATACAACATAATCACTAACTGCTATATATATTTAATAATGTTCCTATTGTACAAAAGTTATGAAGAGCGCCTTAAGCATGAGGGAAATAATAAGCAATTTCGAGCAATAAAATAGATATGATTACATTTTCGCGTGCAAAACATATAGTTTGAAAATGTGAAAAATGAAACGTTTCCTAAATACTACTAATTCTTCGCCTTGTAAAGCATTTCAAATCTATCTTTCCTAAATATGTCCTTTACAATTGAGGTTATGTATTACAATTTAATACTTACATCGTCATAATTTTCTGTAGATTTTGCCACGACTCCTGTCAACTACAAAAAATATTTTCATTAATTAATATCAACACGACTCAAAAATTACTAAATATTTATATTATCACAACACACCTCGTCAGATTTTCGTTCCGGAGTTTCATCTTTGCTATTTCCCGAATCCATTCCGCTATCAACTGACCAATCTTCTAATTCGACTGCAGAATCATCCATCAGAAAAACAACGAATTAATAATTATACACTTTGGCAGTCTTTTATTTTATTTAACAATTATTATGGATTAAAATTGATAGCACCATGAACCTTTTTACTTACGGTAAAAGTACGAGATGTCACTGCTGCAAGTTTCAAACTCTTCAAACTTCAGACCCAATAAACAACTTTCATTTCACTTGACCAATGTAAAAAACGATGACGCGGAAATTCAAATTATTGAAATAAAAATAAGATTAAATTATGCTACTTAAAATTAAAATTGACCCGAATGAATTACTGATGTTTTTCATATGTTTTTGTTTTTTTTGAATTTCTCTTGTTTTTATCCCGCATATTTTCGTAACGCTTTCTATGTGGATAATATTTATAATTTATTTTGGTTAAATAATGGCAAGTTGATTTTTTTTATTGATTAGTATCAAAATTATAATCGAAGTTATTATAACTATTTTTACAATTATTGTAAATCACTTTTATTATTTTCCGTTATCGAATTAAAGTTATAAGTATTACAGAATTTATTATTTGATATGCTAGAAGCTTTGGTATTATAACTCAAGATTCGATACCTTCACCGAACAGCCCGGTATCAAGCAGTGGTGATACAGATTTTTACCTAAAAATATAGGTATAGAACAATATTGTGACAATAGCTCTTCTCTGGAAATGCTGCATTATATTAAAAATATTTATGAAAAAGCTTATATTCATTTCATGTATGGTTCCAATTTGTTACTTGCAAATGTACTTGAATTATTTATTACTTAACAACAAAAAATTCGCTTAAAAATCGATTTTATCAACTATTATGCTTCTCCGTGGCTCACATGGTGGAAGCTTTAATGTTGTGACCCAAGGTTCTAGATTCGATACCCACCCCGAGCAGACTGATATCAAGCAGTAGTGATATAGGATCTTACTTGAAAATTAAGATATGGAACAATATTACAACAGTAATTATTTTTGCAATTGGTGCAATGAATTAAAGATTTGTTATTCTATTTATATACTCTTAGTATAGTAACTAATCACTATTGAGTAGAGAAATATAGTTAAAACAATTTCTGATTGAAGTCTGAAGAAGAAATAAATAAATAAATAAAAAAAAAACTCATGCTTTTATAGATTTTTGGTTTTACACGCAGTATGCTATGCTATGTTTGTAATTATACTTACTGTATTTCCTCTCCTCGTGTAAGTCATCAACCATCTGCATTCTTCTTCTCCCAATACTTTCAGTCCTTCTATTTCGCCTTCGACGTTGTGTAGGAGGCAATCTTCCTGCAGAATGTGTCCGATCCAGTTTCCTTTTCTTTTCAGGATCGTGCTCAGTAGAGTCCTTTCTTCGCCTACTCTTCTCAGGACTACTTCATTTATTATCTTGTCTGTCCACTTTATTTTCTCCATTCGCCTTATACAATATAATAATCAATAACCAAAAATGATGTTAATTTTATCGAGAAAAATAAAACACCGACTTTTTTCAACTTTTAATGTTACAATTATACATATAACATGTTACATAGTTTTTAACTTCGATATGAAGAATAGATTAATAATATAAATATGTATCTACAAATCAGCGTATGAAATCCAATGATATACGCATATAAATATAGGTATATATTAATTTTTAACAAATAATTATAAAAATATTTTTATTTCAATTATAATTAGGTAATATTGTTTTTGTTGTAGTTTTCATGTAATTATAAAGAATAAGGCAATTTCGTAACATTTTTGTTAAGAACTGAAGTGATGCTTATCATAATAATGTGTACATTATTTTAAAAAATTGCAATAAATGTATTTGGAAGTTTTTTTCACAATTGGGCCAATTGATACTCTTAGAGTAAAAGTAGTTGATTTTCACACAAACTTAAAAAGAATAGAATAGATACAGTACAGGTACGATTGAATTGCAGATTTTTCGTCAATGATGACAAATGTACAACTAACATCAAACTTGCAAGCAAAAATGGTTACTTTTAGAAATTGATGATTTTTTTCAGATTTATGAACGATTTGATCAAAATGATTTTTTTAAATATGTTCGTATTATTTCGAACATTTTACAACAAGCGTTTTATTTCTACTAATACATCGCGTATTCTAAGAATTTTAATAACAGTATATAAATTATCGTCGTTATTATTGCAATTTTATTCTAAATGATTTATGATATATAATATAATATTTATTGACAATACATTCGATAATGTACATTTTTACATTTTTAAATATAATACAACCTTATATAAGTATCACACCATCTTGTATTTATGAAAATAGTCTCGCAAATTCTGAAAAGAATAAAATAATGTTAATATTATTTATTTTGAAACTACAGGCATATAATTTCAAAACAAAAAAAGTAACTGACCCAGAATTATGCTTTGATAATATAATAATATTAACACTTTTATTCATGTAAATACTGATTGTTAGAATTGTCAGTAGATTTTACCTAACACATATTAAAATTTTATTTCTTTGAACTAACTTGATATGCGGCTTTTTTTTTCTTCAAATAAAAAAATATTTATTTAGTTTTTCATTTATAATTTGTCATAACCAAATTTTGTTTTTTTTTCTGAATTATAGCACATAGATCACACAAAATATTAGTTCATGTTCTTTAATCTGCCATATTATTTAAAAGCTATCGATTCAGCTATCTATCTTTTACGTATTCATTCAAAATTATAATTATTCTAATTTTGTATCTTGAAATAATATTTCAGGGTTTGTAAATTAAAAATCTTTCTAACTATTAGATTGTAATTCGCCTTATTTATTATAAGTCTTTTTTAGAATTTGATAAGTCTGGCCGATATACGTACAGTCACAATCCGTACAATTGAGTTTGTAAACAATGTCTTACTTTTCTGTTAACTGTGTTTCATCTTCGTATATTGGTGTCAAAATTTTGAAATTGTTTTACCTGATCAGAATGCTAAAACTCTTCCTTTTTTATTTTACGCAACTAATAGCTATTGGAGTAAAACAATTTTTTTTGCTAGCACTTATAACATATTAGTGTTATATCATCTAAACAAGATAATTTGTGACCATATTTAGATAAATTAAATTAAATATTGTAAATATATTTACACTGATGATTAGACAAACTATTGTCTTGGAACATCAAGGTAGTAGTTGTACTAATGAAAAACTATATAGAAATCAATCTGAGATCATCTTTTCTGTGGTTATATTTTAGTTACCAAGTAGAACATAATTGTTAATACTAGTAATTGAACTAATATGAAATAATAAACTCAAAATGTAACAAATGAACTTGAAAAATGTATGAAGTTTTTGGGTGCTAAAGAATAGTGATGGACTTGTTTATAAAATAAAAGCCGTTATTGGTTGTACCCACTTGAGATCTTCCAATTAGTAAACAATCATCATAATATTTGTATATGCATTTTTTCGAATACATAAAAAAGACATAAAATGCTCTATAAGATATGGGAACTAGCAAGGAATTACGCACAGGTACGACCCAAGCTGAAAGGTCTTCAAAATTTGAATTTCAAACTATTCCCATATAACATGATTGAAGTCTACCATATAATTATGCCCGAATGATTGTAAAATAAAAAATTAATAATGTAAATGAACATTAGTAAGGAAAAAATTTGAAAATCCTAGTATTGCCATGGAATGCTTATCTACAATTGAGTTCAAAAATTAGGAGAAACTTTCCGAAAACCTTTCTTTTCATGGTAACAGATGTTGGTAATTTAGAAATTTCAGCCAAAATATAGCAAGGGTACGATTTATATATATATATATATATATATATATATATACATATACAAATGAATACAAATTACCTTCGAAGTTGATGCGTCCATCCTTGTCCGTATCGGCCAACGTCATCAACTCGGTGACCTGCTGCTCCGTGACATTTTCGCCGATCATCTCCATGGCGGTTCGCAATTCGTCTCGGGAAATGTATCCATTACCATCTCGGTCGAACACCCTAATAAAGAAAAATCGATCATCTCAGACAAAATTGATCGGACAGATTTAATGAAAATTAAAAACGTCTGCTTCTAAATATAGAACGCCTTTGACTTCGGAAAGAGAAGCAAATATGTAAGTGTTAAAATAGTATGCAAGGTATAAAATGATTAAGATATCACCCAAGTTTAGAACGCAATTGAAAAAATAAAATTAAAACACTATTAATTACCAAATAGTTATTTTGCAGGCTTCCCAAAAGCAATTTTATTTTTGATTATTATACCTACAATAATTGCCATAAAGCATTAAATAATAAATAATAATAATAAAAATTTAGGGATAGTAGGCTGTAGAGCTATTATTTTTGGCCCTAAACGCGTTCCGGATTTTTATTTTTAAAAATAATCGCTATATACAAAAAATCATTTTTTGTATATGGCGATATAATGATTTGATAAGTGAATTTCGTGTATTAGATCCAACAGTGTGACCAGCAGATAATGAAATCGGCGGCATCCGAGTTGAAAGGGTTAATTTAACATCACGGATTCGATCTATCAATGCGTTCAGAGATTATATTGATACTGGAGGCAAAGTAATTCCTAAATATATAGAAATCTTAATTCGATACATACCAATATTGTACCTTGCATATGAAAATTAATTTAAATGAACAAATCAATAGAATATTCTATTCTACTCCAATAGGATTATGTTCAGGATCTTGTAGTTGAATTTTTCTCCATTTCCTTTTATAAATGAAAGATTTTCTAGATTTTCAATTAATATATATTAATTGAAAATCTAGAAAATCTTTCATTTATAAAAGGAAATGAAAAAAAATTCAACTACAAGATCCTGAACATAATCCTATTTAGAATATTTTATAAAAACCACAAGTTTTTGAACCGGTTTTGTTAATTTTAGCGTTCCGGTAAAAAAAAAACTAGCACAACATCATTGGAAGTAGGTCCAGTATTAAATTACCCCTCCGATGATAATATAATATAGAGATAAACAAAAACTAGTGGTGTTTTGACTTAAGGCAAGTTGTATGAAATTCGCGATACATGTAGATAATCGACTTAATAAGAAAAGAAAATTAGCTCTTTATATAATATTTTCAACTGCTTATTTTAATGTTGCTTTTTCACTATGTAACTGATCAATATAATTTCCAATTCCAATTTTCTTAACGAACTTGCAATAAATATGTTAAATAATCGAGCTCATTTCTAGAGTGTCATAAAATAAATAATAATATTCATAACCATTATTGAAGAAAATGTTAAAGCATATTGTCTTAAGAGTAATATTATGAAATTGTTGCCCCATCAATTTGAAAAATGAATGCTTGTGTAGGGGAGACCGGATACGGTTATGCCAGCAGGGTACTGTAGTGGCAATCATCAAAACAACTAAAAGATACTGATTTCGAGATAGGGTTCCTAGTAAGATTGTTCAAACAAGTTTACCATTATTGTTTCAATCAGTTAATATGATCTGTAGACCGAATTGCTTTTTAAGAGATTGATACAAATAGATGACTTTCTCCGTTATCTTGCTGTAAGATAAACATTAGTAGTTATTTACCAGTAATTACTTTTCACTTAGATAAGTTAGCTCAGTCATAGTGATGATTTCTTTTCTCCTAAATTGTGCGTTGAATACGGTTGTGATAAATTATGTGAGTACGATTGTGATATGTATTTCTTGTCCTTTTTACGTAAAGATTGAACAGGTGAAAAAAATCTAACTTAACTAAGACAAAATACGAAATAGAAAGGAATAAGAAAATTCAATACACGAAAAAACATTTACCAAAGAATTCTTGTTAACAAAATTTGACTTGTTATATATTATATTTGATATATTTTATTTATATAAGCTTTGTTATTTAAATGTTAGTGTTGTGTTTTGTTACATATTATTAATAGCAATAAAATTCGTAATAAACCATTTTGGTATATAGCTATAGTTTTTAACCTATTTTTATGCTTATGTACAACCGTCGACACCCCCAGGAACGGTTGTGCCCATTTCTTGTACAATTTGATTTTATAACTATCGATTTTAAGGATAGTATTTTCCATAGGTATTTCCACATAGAAGAATGTTCAAATTACCATTTATTTTACTTTTTTCCCAGCTAACAGGTAAATTAACAAAATTATAGCAATTGAAAAAAAAAATGTGGCACAACCGTACTCAGGACTCCTTGTTCCGGCCTCTGCTGTTTTCATAATTTTGTTAAATAAACCAATTAATTTATCACGATCTAACAAGACTAAAGCAATAATGTTAATAAAAACACTAACGACAATAAAAGTCGGGCACGTTCGAGCCAAAACATTATGCCAACGGAGCTCTCATTTTCTATTTACATCAACCGGGTTCTGATTGGTGATCCTCTGCGGTAATAAACGCGAAGACCTAAACGCAAGAATTACTTTGTCGCTGAGATTTCGAGTTACGAAAATAGCCATCATATTTCACATCAGGACACCAGAGCAGGCCGTTCAACTGATTTCCAACATTTCTTCGTAACCCAATTCTATTAAGAGTTCTTTAACGGTTGTAATTCACACAGATAATTGCTCGGAACGAGCAGCCAAAACAAAGTTCGGTATAGACGGGTAAATTAAATCTAAGCTTAGATATATAAAACAAACGTAGCACCTAATACCAATAAGATCAAAAAGCGTAGCAACGAAATTTGTTTATGTAATGTAATACTGATATTGATTTCATTTTTTTAAACATTATTTGAACAGAAATCAGAACTTAAGGGTCTCTATAAATCGTTGTATGAATTACTTAATACTATGTATCTTTGTTATTAATGACAACCCAAACAGTTGTCCCACATCTATGTGATTTATTTGATTATTAAAATTTCTGTAATAGTGATGAATTGTTTTATTGATGCAGCAATGCCGGACAAGCACTATTTTCACTTGGAAACATATTGCTATCTATATTTCCAAATGAAAGGTTATGCCACTAGTCCATGACATCAGGCTTCTAGAGTCGGGATCAAACCTGGGACTTAATTCGTTTTTAATTAAGTCCAATCGTTCTAACCAATTCCTTCGATTTTTCTTTTGTTTCATTTATTTCATATTTACTTTTTCATATTATATATTTATTCTTTTAATATACACTTTTTTTTCATAGGTTCTCGAAATGAAATGGTATCTAAATGGTTAAGTGTGTTCACATAATTTTCTCGAGATTTTTCAGATTTCCTGAAATTTTACGATAGCAACTTGCCTGTAGGCCACACCGTTCAAAATTCGAAGTTGCGATATATGGGAAAAAAACTAAGAATTTTGAGACCTTCCTAACGATGTATAATATTTTATATGTTTTCTTTATAGAAATTTCGAATCGTGAGGACTGTAGCTCTAATGTAACCGCACTTTGCATTTTAACAAGTTAACATTCACACAGATTGTTCTATTATACTATCTAAACCGTAAATAATAAAAAAAACTTTGTTCGTACAAAAGATGCAGAATAAAATTACGAATAAAATGGTATATAAATAGTTAAGTGTGTTCATATAATTTTCTCGAGATTTTCCAGTTTTCCTGAAATTCGCAGGTGTGCAGAGTTAAACTGCAACTCCATCCTGCAGCGCAGGATATTCAATTTTATTCAATTCACTATATTGAAATTTTATCATGTTATACTTCTTTTCATAGTAGTTCCAAGAAGGGACAAGTTTACTTGAAAATATATATGGATCTGTTTTTAAAATTTCATCAAGTTGATTTTTACAAATTTTAGTTTCCTCGCAAAGCAGTGAAAATTGATGTCAGGTTTCAGGAACCGCAAAATATGACCTCCGAACTTTGTGGTTGCAAGGTCAAGGCTCTTCCACTTGTTTTGTAATGGGTAATTTGTTAATAGCTATACTATCTTTTGATTTTGTATATTATTTTGACTATAATATTATATTCATAATATGTTACATGATATTTGATAGCCATATGAATACAAATAAAAATTGATGTGCAATCCTTTTTTATTAGTAGTTATTATCAAATGCTCTTTGTAAAGTTATTGAAAATATCTTCAGTAGTACTAAGAAGAACAAAAATGTTAGGACTAGAAAATATCTCAAGGACCCCACTAGTGCTTAGAATAGAAGTTACAATAGTTAATACAATAATTCAATAATCAAAACAATATCTCAATTAGACTCAATATGAGTTTGTCTTGACTAAAATGATATTACCTCAAGATATGTTAAAAAACTCAATTCGATTCTTATATTATAGAAATAAAATCAATGAAACGAATATGATGGTGATGGTATAGTTTCTATCAAGTTCTATAAAACTTTCTATCAACATCTTTCTGTCAAACTAAAAGAACAAGTTGGAGTCTTTGAAGTACTGTACATAGCGAAACACACAGGTACAAATACACAGACACACACCACACATATAATAAAATAGAGTTTTATCAATGTCCTTGATTGAAATTACTTACATAAATACTATTTTTGCGTCAAAAGTCAAAATTTCTAATAATAAAAAAATCATGGGGGTTAAGAAACTCTTATGATATTTTATACTTAATCTGCTCGATATAAAAGAATAGTGTATGATTTTTCTTAGGTGGAACTATACATTGCGGGTATAAACCATAGATCGTATAATATATTATAAGAATTATGAGATTATATATATATATATATATATATGTGTGTGTGTGTGTATTTAGAAATTTACTTACTTGAAGGCAGATCGTAGATCTTTATTGACATCATCATTGGAGTCTGAATCGCCGCCTTGTCTTTGGGTTCCGCCTTGCATTGCCTGAACTGCCTGAATCTTTGCGATCCATTGTAAAAACTCGGTCTCGTCTATTAATCCGCTACCTAAAAGTGTTAAATTGTTAATTATCCAGATATTTTTACAAATATTTTAAATTCTAAATCAGTATTTGAAAGGTATGAATGATAAATCTATTGCAAAAAAATAATAATAAAAATTAAACACATATGATTAAAATATCCTAACAATTTAGGTTAAACTAGTATACTGCTATAAGTTTAGGTCCAGTCTCATAATAATAATTTATAGTGTTAAGTTAATAAATATTATGGTAAACTTGCTCAATGGTATAAATATTATAAATAACGAAGGCTATTAAATTGTATAAAAATTAAATGTCTTTAAATTAGTTTTATCTCTGGAATAGTTAAAAAAAAAATGATACTTTTAGTCTGCTCGATGGCATCTTATGAAATATATATATGAAAAAATTTCACCAAATTTATAATATTACCTTCCAATTTATGGATTTTTAAAAAATATAAAGATAACGAACATTTAAATTAATTAACTATTTCAATAAAATTCATTCTACTTTGATTATAATTTTATCATATAGTGTAAAATAATTTGGAGTTACAATCCATAAATAAAAAAGTTAATTTCACCACAGCTATTAAAAGTTATAAAATCTTGAAGCACAATTGGATATTTTTATTAGAGTTATTTTGTATTATTGTATAAATTAATAAAAAAAACTAGTTGAAGGTGGCATTTTGCCTTAAGGCTAGTTGAATGAACTTCTCGAAATGTGTAATAATTTACTTAATCAATCGAAATTGAGATTTAGATATTTAGATAAAATTTCCAACTGCTCCATTACATATATCATGTACGTAGTCCCCGATATAACTTAATGATTTAAATAAATGGTATCATTTTTGACACAACTAGAGAAGTTTTCTAGACTTATTTTTCTGTTAATTCAAAAAAAATGTTTTTCAAGTTTGTGATATTCAAATTTTGACTCTTAACATCAGAAGCGACTTTTGACACAAACTTTGCATATTGTTTTTTCAAAACTTTGTTCAATTTTTAAAATTAAACTACTTGCCGTAGAGCCGTAAATTTTTGGTATGTTCTTTAGAACCATGTTGTCTATCAACATAAAATATTTCATCGAAAAACTTACTACAACAGTTAAGCGGCACGAATCCCAAATAATATCTTTCGGATAGTTTTTGAATCAAAAAAATCGAATCAGAATTTTTGGCTAAAACATGGGGAAAAACTTTTCAATTTTTTCTTAATTACTAAGAAATGGTTCGTCGCACAAAACTGACAAATGCAATACCTTATCGAGTTACATCGAATGGTTTTTAAATTTTTGAAATCGGTCCAGTCGTTTTTGAGAAAACGTCGATTTACGGCAAAAAATCTGTTCACACACGCACACATACTGCTTCCAAATTTGGTCTCATTCGATTCAGAATGGCTTGAAACGTCGAGAAAACACAAAACTAGTAAATCGGATTTTTTGATGAAAACATAAACTTCTCCTTCGGTAAGTTAAAATGCAATATTTCTGACCTAGCAAGTAATTACATATGGAAGATTTTGCCATATATTTGCATATATTAATCTCTATTTGATGGTTTTGAGAAAAAATCTAAACATTTAATATGATTAACCATTTTATTAATCAGAAATATAAATTTTTTATTATAATTTATATAATATTACATTATAAATTATTGTAAGGTTATAAAAGATCATAGCTATTAAAGTTATAAAATCTTGAAGCAAAATTGAATATTCTCATTTGGGTTATTATGTTGATTGTCGTTGAATGAATTATTAAAAAATAAATCCTCATATTTATGGTGAATTTATTCACATTCTATTGGCCTTAGATAAATTTTCTGCTAAGAAGTATATTTTCCGGTAAGAGAAATACATATGTCCTTAAAATTCCTTATTATCATATACTCTTCACAGATTTAAATGCATATTTTATGAAGCATTAGAACAAAATATTTATCATTTAAATACCAACGCACAGTTAAGTAAAATCTTAAATATAACTCAAATTCTATTTATAATTTGTCATGAGTGATGCTGAAACTATTTCCGATATTAAAAAAACTGTTCAAATTAACTACATCGAATATATAATCTTGAAGCAAAATTGAATTTTTTTATTAGGGTTACTCTGTGTTAATGTTGATTGCCGTTGTACAAATTATTAAAAAATAAATGTTAATTTTTATGGTGGATATTATTCAAATTCCATAGGCTTTGCATAGATTTTGTGCTGAAAAAAATATTTTCCACTAAGAAAAACACATAAGTCCTTAGAATTTCACATTATCATATAATCTTCACAGATTCAAATGCATATTTCATGAAGCAATAGAACAAAATATTTTACCATTTAAATACCAACGCACAGTTAAGAAAATCTTAAATATAACTCAAATCCTATTTATAATTTGTCATGAGTGATGCTAAAACTATTTCCGATTTAAAAAAACTGTTCAAATTAACTACATCGAATATCCTAGTACGAAACCCAATTTCTCACATGAGTCCAACTGGCATAAAATCAATTTATTTACATTGTCACCTGAAAAAAATTGGCTTCGATTTGCTCTATGTTGGCTTGGCTATTATATTGAGTGAACATATTTTGTTTATTTAGTACCTGATACTGTAAGTTGCCAAGTCGCCATGTGACAAAGTCGCCTGATAGCATGAAATTATTTATGAGGTAATAAATATTGATCAGCGTTACTAATGTTCGCAGATAACGCTCGCGGTTCAATTTGTATTGAATTAAGGCTGAACTCGAATATATTATATGCGAGTTTAATACAGTTCATGTACGAGTTCAATTACTTGCTATTTATAACACTTAGGTATTGACAATATTATTATATAATTAGCCTAATATTTTATATATTATTCTTTTTGTATATTATTTGAACAGCAATCAGGACTTAAGAGTACTATAACTATGTCGGTTTTTATAGATGGCACCCAAAACTGTTGTCTCAACATTATATTATATTTTTATATTATTATAATTTCGGTAATAGAGATCGGAAAATATAGTTTTTTTAACTTATTTAAATTTTTTGTCATTTTGCCTTGCCGAATAAGGGCTATTTTCACTTGTAAAAACCGATGTCACTACTGCTTGATATCAGGCTGCCCAAAGCAGGTAGCAAACTTGAATCTTTTAATTGAAATCCCATAGCTCTAATCATAAATACACAGAAAAGTCTCAGATAAATCGATTTTTAGAATATTTCAATAATAATCGGAACCTTGTATCAAAAATTTAGTATTCCAGATTTAATAGGTTTATGACATTAATTTCAATGAATAAAAATACTTTAATATTATATTTTATGTTTTTTAAAAGCACATTTTTGTACATATTACTAAAATTGCTTTGTTCGATGTTCAAACATATTTTGATAAACGATCAAAACCAAAATATTGCATTTATTTGTTTAGTATGTTTTGTTTTGTTAAAAATATTACAGTAGGATGGAGCAGGTAAAAAGTTCAACATCTCACAAATAAGCAACGTTAGGACATTTTTAACGACAATATTTGAAAGTAAAGGGCAAAAGATGAATAACCAGCCATCACACCTTGGATCTTACGACTTTGCTATAAAGAGATGAAGAGTAATTTTGAAAATCCTAAACTAAAGTATTTTCTATCGTTGTTAGTTTTTCGTTGTGAGCACTGTTGTCAAATTTACAAAACATATATTTAAGTATACGAAACCTATAATTTTTAAGTATACGTTATTTTATTGTTTCATAAGATGTATTGTTATTTTTAAGTTAGATTCAACAGTTTTTTTTAATATAACCTTTACAAAAGCTTACATGTGTGTCGGATAGAAAGGACCAACTGAACATTTATCTTGTCAAGATGTAAAGAATGACACATGACAATGTGATGTACTTCATTTGGGTTAGACAGTATAATTACTCAGCGCCAAATTGGACTTTTGTGCCCCGCACTACCCTATATATAATTCAGCTATATACCTTTTCTCTAGAATAGAATATACTATTCTGTAAAAAGTTCTTATTTTAATCTAGTACTTATATGCTTATGTAATTTTTGCACCCACGAACTTAAAGAATACTCATTTAATAGAATTAAATCATAGAATCATACCTAGCCTAAACTAATTGTAAGACTTCTTTAACGATGAAATGATAAAAGCTATTTATCGATATTTTATATAAAACAACTTTGAATAAAAAGTGTTTGATACTACCATTTTTAACACGTACAATACATGACAATACTCGTTGTCATAATATTTTACGTAAAACAAGGACTGTGATAGAAAAAGTCACAGACGAATTATATTTATGACACAATGTGATCAATCAATCAATAAGAGAAGATTTTTTTAAAGCAAAAAGTGGGACATGATAAGTTTGTTGAATAAAATATTATTTTTGTACCGTATCTTTATAATTACAGGAATTTCATTTTGTGAAAATGCATTACCTGTTATTATTTCGTATTTGCCTTTATAACTAATTAATTATGGCTAATGTACTTGCTTATCAGGTCAATTAACCAATAAATAAAAAATAGTTAATTATTAGTTGGTTAATTAACATTGACTCTAAAACTTTGAAGTTTACATTAAAATCCTTCTTACAATTAGATAGTCAAAATAATTGGAAATAAATAAACATATGATATATATTGCTAGAAAATACCTTTATAATTTTACTCAATACTATAAAATACGCAATAAGTAAGCTAGTTTTTAAATGTTATACAAAAATTAAAATATTCCATCAGATTGCATTTTCTTTATTAATCTGCCAATTATTCTGAGAAAATAATGCGCAATAATCAAAACGCTCGAATTGCAATTTAAATTAGACATAAATCAAACGTTCTCTGCATCTTCGTATTTTTCTCTAAATATAACATCATCAGAAACACAAAACATCAAATATAAAATATTTTGCAAGAATATATATGGCACGTATGCATTATAAAGGACTGACATATAAAATAAAACGAATAAACTGAGTATAAAGAAGTGCATTGTGCATATGAAGTTATTTGATATTCCTAAAAGTAAATGGAAAATGTAACTATATGCAAAAGAGATACGGTTACATTTTCCATGAAATATTGTATACATTCGTCATTTTTCTATCTTCATGTGCTATTGTGGAAATAATGTTATTTTGAATTCGTCGCAATACGATTTTTATTTCGGATAATTTAAAAATAAAATGATAATGAAGCGAGTAATTCATAACTATTATTGTCAATTATATTTATAAAATACTTCTTGAGAAACTATTGTAGTAGAGCTAAATATATATAAAAATTAATTATTTCTTCTTTCTATTATTGATATTATTTATCTTTATTTGAATTTAAATTTATAACTGTTTCATTAAAACTTAGTGGTTCTTATATGATTGCTTTGGTAGAATTAATAAAATAAAAGAAAATATGTATACTATGCACTTATTTTACCTCATAAAATAAATGTAAATATTTACATATATTGATATACTTATTATTCCTAGATTTTACACAAAACCAGGTAAATTAGTTGTAAGTAGCATACACTTTTCGATACAAGAAGATGATCGTCGTCGAAAAATGATGAATTTTCTTATTTGTTTAAAAATTATTTATATTATTTTTAGATAAATAGATATTAAAATTTAAAAGTTATTAAATAAAAATTTCGTATTATTTATCATATTATAACACAATAATTTATACATAAAGCATAAAGGTAGCCCAAAATCATCGAAACGGTCATCAGTATTATAATATATAATGTTAATTTTAAACAAAAATAAAATAAATAAAAAGAAAATGCTATCAGAAACACATATTACATCAATTAAACTTTTAAAATCCGAAATAAAAAAAACTGCTCTTTTAGATCACTTTTCACGAAAAAAAAGCGACCGTTGTGGTTAATCAATAAAACATGATATTTATCAAATTTAAAAACTAAGGCGATTAATTTTTTAATTTTATTTCAAGTTGTTATTTCAGTAAAAACTTCTCAATGCAAATTTTAATTGTTCTATAATTTCATATCAATTTCGTAACCCAAACTTTTAGAATTCCTGAGTTTTATAAAACTAAATCACTTTTTTATAATATAATTTTTTAAGACGATAGAAGTTAATATAATAAAGCAAAGTTTAGCTTAAATTGTCAAAGAAAATGATTTTATTTATTAATTATTTAAATTAACCCAATCGATCTTTACCAAAATCTGATAAGCACATAATATCAGTTTAATAAGCAACTGATATTAATCAATCAACTGATATGAATATTCAAAATCGGTTTAGGATTTTTGACGACAACTTTTACAAAACATTTTGAATTTATATGCTATTTATAAATTAATATACTTAATTTTGAATTTATAAAACAACAAAAAATATAAGTTATAGTGAACAATAAAAACAAATGTAATTATAATGAATATATTCAAATTATAAATGAAAAATGTAATATATTAATCAAAACCAATCAATTAACATATGAATTTATAATTTGAGTTTTTATATTGTATTTGAATTTTCTTATGAAAGTTTTTCTTATAAATTTTGGTTTATGCGTTTTAAAAATAGTGTGGTTGTAGTTGAACTTTTCCGAAAATCTGTATCACGCATATAGAGCATTATTCAGCAATATAGAACCAAAATTTTTATGATAAACTCTGAAAAATATTTAATGTGGTTTGGAAGTAATTGTGATAAAAAACCTAGAGTTACTAGAAAAACGCTTTCCAGAAAGCATCATGGTCATATTCAAGGGTCCATGTAATCGAGAACTTTAAAAATAGATTCTATACGAGTCTGTTCAATTGTTTTTATTTTATTTTTCAAGATTTTAATATGAATTAAGTACTTATGTTAAAAATGTCTGAAAATGTCAAATTTCCATATCATCGAACACTCACCAGACTGACTAGCGTCTTTCATCAGATCTTGAATAAGTTCATCCCTCACGTGGATTCCTAGATTTCTTAACATAAATTGCAACTCTGAAGCCGTTACATGTCCATCCTGGTTGCGATCCAGCAACCCGAATGCAGTGCGAAGATCTGAGAAAATAAATAAAAAATATAAGTTAATTAATATTTAAAAATTATAATTTATATATAAATTTTATTAGTTACTATAAAAAATAAATTAAACAGATCTAAAGTAATGGGTTGATTTTTTTTAACTGTATCAAACCTAACCTTATCAAACAATTATTATAGCATTCAAGATAAGTCAAATATTCTAGACAGACACCAAGGATGAGGAATAAATTTATATACCAAAATCAAAATAAAATTTATCAAATATAATTGTATTTTTTAACATATCAAGCAGTAGTGACTTCAAGTCGAATGCCAAATATGACATCTTGCAAAAATTACCTTCAGCTGCAATATATATTTATATTAAAAATAAAGTATAGATATTTTCTCCTATACTTTTTTTCTACAATGTTATGGAAAAAAGCTGCATTTATAATAATATACAAACGCAACTATATTGATACACGATTATAATAAACTTTAAACTGAATCGAACACTAAATATATAAGTAAAGCATTAAAAATGCATGATAAATGTAAATTATTTCTAAAGCTCAATATTTTGATCTAATACTCTGATAATAATATAATTTTATACACTTTCTTCCACCGAAAGCAGAAAATGAAATACGTCTAGTTTTCCAGATAAAGTTTCAAAATTATAATTAAGTTTGTGAGAGGTGATCTAATAATAGTTGTTCATAAAGCATTTAAGAGTATGATTTTGTTGTACAACATAATTAAAATGAAATAAAATATTTATATAAAATTAAGTTTTGTAGAATAATTAAGATGTGAAATATCAACATCTTGTTATTCTAACCAAAGAAACTTATTACGGCAGCTTCCAATATAAATACTGAAATTAGCATTTATATTAAAAGTGTCATGAATTCAAATGTTGAATTGTATACAGAGATAAATATTCGAGTAATCATATATATATATATATATATATTTATATATATATATATATATATATATATATTCTCTTCTACATTAAAAGTAATTAACATTTTTATAAAGAATTAAAAAAAATCTTTATGTTTCGGTTAAAGTTCAAGCCTCCATTCAGCAAAAAAGAAATATAGAGCTGTCCAAAACACTCTAAAGGTTGTTCTTTACAGTTGTGATATATTTTAACATACTTCAATTTAGTAATTTTGTAAAACGTATAACTCATCTATTAGAAACATGTAGATATCATATTATGGAAATCGTATTGATCAGTTTTGGTAATTTTTTGTTTTATTTTCTCAGGATTTTGATAAAACTTTATGTGATGAAGGGTTCAAGGTTTTGATCAATATTTTGTAATATTATGGTCGTACGACAAGTCGTTTTTATAAATATTCGTCAATACCAAAGAATAATTCTTGTTGTATGAGTCAATTATGTTCACATGAATTACTGAAATTCATATAACTTGCCTCAAAGAAAATCCATAACAAAAGTATTTTCTTTCGTTGTTAGGTTTTTTGGTTTTGAGCACTGTTGTTCAGTTTACGAGACCTTAATATAGGTTTTAAGTCTACGCTATTCAAATGTTTTATAAGATAACAGATTTTTTATTTAACCTCTATAAAAGCTTAAACCTGGGTTGGGTAAATAGGACCAACTGAACCATTACACTGGCAAAGAAGTAAAATTAAAAAATATCAAATAAAAAAGTAAATTAAGTTATTGAGAATAAAGAAAGCTATTTTACAAGAGATAAATTAAATAAATAGTTGTTTCAACTTTGGTGATAAATATTTCTGATAAAATACCAGATCAAGGTTATTTACAGTGTTATTTCTGAAAAGAAAATGCACCCATGAAATTTCAATTTTGCATTGGTTGAATAATGTAGTAATTATTTTGTAAAATCCCTTTAAAATTTAAATGAAACATTGAACATGTTTGCCCACTGACCGTCCTAATTTACCCCTTCTATGGGGTAAAAAAACAGACAAATTTTTGAAAAAAAAAAAAAAACACATTTTGTAATGATGAATTCGCTGGGAGTTATACTGATCATAGTTAGGTAGTTGTTGGTACAATATGTGTTATTTGTATAATTTGTGTTATCGGTTTGGATTTCACAATATAAATGCTCAAAGTCAAATTGAACCTATGTACACGAAAGGTTTTAAAATACTTAACAAGATTCTAATGTTTGAAACAGAAATTTTGACGATTGGACAAAACAATGACTAAAACTTGGTTCAAAATTGCAAATTCGTAAATTCAATACACAATTCAATACATCATTGATTTTTAATTAATACCATTAACCAAAGCTCAATTTTTTTTCATCTATATATATTGCATTTATGTGGATATATGAAACTTTGTTTATCTTCATTCTTGTTAACAATCTTTATAATATATAAATATTTAAAATTTAATAATACTTAAAAAAACATATTTATATTTATATATAATATATATTTAAACATAATATTATATTATAATATGGCTCTTAATGTACGCGTATGATATTTAGAAATCTCCTTAAACTTAATTCGTACTATTCGACTATATAATCAATAATAAATATTTCCGAAATGCCAAGACCTATGTAGGGCTGTAATTACGAAATTATCTGTAACAGATGTCGAATGAGCGATTTTTCCAATAATATACACATATTTTTTAAATCATATTATTATTATAATATATATATAAATGTTGCTTGAATTTTGTATACCAAAAATATAAATATTTAGAGTGTAGTCAATATTTTTACACAATAAAATTAAATTTAAGTTGAAGTCTAATGTAATGAAAGTTCTACGTAATGAAAGAAGTGGCATATAAGTAGGAATCAATATATTATAATATATCGCAAAATAATTATCAGTCTTATTCAATTTTTATAGTACCGGGATAATTCAGTTTACAACCCGCTAATTAAACAAAGTGATCCCAAATACATATATTTATATACTACAAGTCTTATATTTAAGCCCAATTTAAGTCCTGAATTTTATTATTAATTAACTAAAACCTTCAACTGATTTACTTACCAGGTAGATTTATAGCTGCTCTTGTACATATTTTGTAAAGTATTATATGCCCTGTGTACACTTTATCATTTATAACCCCATTTGCTCAATAATTAATATCGGATGCCCAATAAATGCTAAACTATAAATTCGTAGAAATTGAATCAATGTTATGAATCTCTAGCAATATTCAGTTATATATAATTTGATGAAAAGCCAATATACCAATATTGATATTTCGTTTATTTGTTCATGAATGTATAAACCCTATGCATCGTGAGTTTGTAGAAATAGTTGACTGCAGAATTGATATGAAGATTTATTTTTCATAGAAACTAGTATTAAATGCTTAAATATAATTCCATACATTTAATCTTACTTATTTTCAATCAATATATTTTATTTGTATTTATTTTTAAATATGATTCCGATTCTTGTTGTTTCAGCTTTTTAAACCCGCGGTGCACTATTTTTTGCTAGTTCTTTTTCTGATGCACGTGCAATTGCACAGAAACGTGTCCTCTGCTATAAATAGTGCAGTTGCTATAATAATAAAAATAGAAATACGAGCTATGTTTTCTTTATTAACAGACTTATAACAGGATAAAAATTGAATTAACAAAGCAATATAACTCTTTCGTTTATCGTGTCCTCTTCTTGCATAAATCTTTTAAATTTAAGTGATCAAGAAATAATGTTGTATCCAAATAATGTTGTAAAAATTCATATTCTGGTACATACAGGCAACTCATGTCAAATGTATATTTGAGAAATTAATAAAATTTATTTATTATAAATGTTGTTTAAAGATAAAAGACTTAAAGATCCGGTAAAAAGGCTTACTAGTTTCTTATGGTTTACACCTCGTCAGTATAAAGATCTTGGTGCTCCTTTTTACCCCAGCCATATGTTTGGTACTTTAGAGGGTTATAGAAATAAAACTGTAAAAATAAAAGAATTAAATAAAGAACATTAAAAATTATATTCAGGTATTAAAAAACTGCAATATCTGAAAAACGTATGTACCTATAAAGCTACATAATATATATAGGGGGAAATCCCGTAACGCCGGACAGCACCTAACACCGGACACTCTATTTAACACGTATTATTTAAGCGAGTATAAATCTTTTTATATCAAAATACAAGTGAAAGGGGCGCGGGGGGCACACAGGTGCGGGATCACCCACCAAGACTCACCTGTGACGCACACGGCCACGGCGGGAGCAACCCTTTGTTGTTTTAGGCGCAACATCACGGCGTCACCTGAATATCAATGGATGTAATTCTGCTGTATTTATGCATTTATATTTGAGTGGCATTGAATGATAAAAGTAGTACTTGATTGTTATCCGTAAAATGGTATATTATTAATAGATATTTTAAACAATTTTAGTAGGCACCACCAAATAAACAAACATGCTTGTCCCTTAGTACCGGACACTAAGTCGTCCCTTAGCGCCGGACAGTAGACGTATTGAAATTTCTTGTGAGAGTTGACGTAATTTATTTTAATTATTTAATTTTGTTCTGTATGAGTGCTAACAGTCACTACATACCCCCATTTTTCGTATTTCCTAGTCAAAAAATGAAAATCTTATGATGAATGCTTCAGCTGAGAGCATCGGTGTGGCCCAGCCAAAATGGTGGATGAATAGTAAATTTTTTTGCAATGTCTAAGAATATTCGTCAAACACACATGTGCAGACACTTCAGAGTATGGAGATGGCTACCTATGTGTTCAATACTAGTTATTTTGAAATGTCCGGTACTAAGTGCCACTTTGTAAAATCATATTTCTTGTTACCAAAGTTTGATTGATAGTATTAATTATTTTTTAGCAAAGGTTGCGTTTTTGTTAATTTAGTTTGATTTCTAACTGTGTTATCTAACATAAGTCATAATTTAATAAACATTTCGTAAAATATTTTATGACTTATTTATGAATAACCTTAAGTGTCCGTCACTCGGGTACTTCCCCCTATAGAACGTGCACCTAGACAGCTATAATATATTCTCCTCTTA